TTCATTCAATTTAACTTCCAATGTTGTTATAATGTTATTATATAATATTATGTGTCCTGAATATAATTTGTTTTATTATATAGCTGTTTGAGTTAATGTCTTCGGGATGTATAATGAGTATACTTATATAATTAGTTTACAGGTCACAAGTCAGTTTGCAAAGTGTCACTCCAGGTAACTTAATTAAATAAGAGGCCATATCTTTGATTAATAGAAGATTCACCTCAAATGTATTTAGAAATGGTCCTCTGCCTTGGAACGATATCATTGACCTTGATCAATAATTTTAAGTTACCAACCTTTTGTCTACTAGAAGTCATTTAGATCTCAATTTGGAAGTCTACTCTATCATATATGTAATTGAAATAAAGTGGCCTCTCCGGCAATCCACCTGGCTGAGAAGCCAATGTATTGTAATTGTATATGTGAAGGCATATGAAGATAGATATAAATGTGGGGGTCGGTGGTCAGTAGTCAGCACTTAGAGAGGACACACCGTCACCAACTCTGTGATCGGTCAGACGAATGGCGGACGTGCCCTTATGTCATTTTCTGCCCACAGCACCATACAGCTTGCTGACCAGTACATTGGCAACTTCCTTTCTGGTCTGTTCTCTTCCCCTGCTGTATCCATGTTCTCTGACATGGCCATTCTCGCAGTCGACGAGTGCACAAAGGGACCGTGCAAAACTTCGTCGGCACCATGTCGACCCCCTTGCCAACATCGTTAGTTAGAATACTTGTTTATTCGTGAGAAGATTTTATTGGTAGTTAATGTGCGAATATGAGCCATTATCTTTGAATGCCTGAGAGAGAGAGAGAGAGAGAGAGAGGGAGAACGCATTCTGTCACATTTCCCAGATATAATATCCCTTATTTAATCTTGTTATTGAACTCCAAGTAAACAACAGGCATGTGCCCGGTTCTCCAATATATGTTACTTTGATAACGATATAACATTTGAATTCATTAGTAACTTAGTAATTTTACCAATTAGTCATTTCATCGGTGATTTCAAGAGGTTTTTCACCCTGATATTGATAAGGACGACCCGAGCAATACGTGAGGTTAGGTAATCTTTAACCATGCAACGATGGCAAAATCGTGCCAAGACCCATCCCCTAGCGCGTGGGCATGTGCTCGCCAAGCCTTTGCATATCTAGAACTCACGACATACTGTTTACTTCTGAAGACTCAAATACTGTATTCACCAAGACTTTTCAAGGTTTGTCTGCTTCTTCTTTTAGTAATTAGTTTTATTATGACAACTTTTTGCCTTCAGTAATTAGAACAATAACGACTTACATTTTGCATTTGACCTCTATGATGAATCTGACAAAATTCTGAATTTTAAAACAGAAACAGTACTAATTCTTATTGTGTTCAACAGACTTTTATATCATTTTTCAATAGGTTTGTTCTGTCCATTCCGTTACCATGAAGGTTTTGATCCTTGTTGCTTTGGTTGCCGTGGCAGTAGCTAAACCAGCTGAGAATTCCATTCAGCGTCTTGGTAAGTACACTTTTTCATGTTGGTTCTTTAAATATCAAAGTAAAGGATTTCACTTGATGTCATCAGCAAGTTTCTCTTGACTATTTCAGTAATAACTTAAAGACGAATCTAAAAAAAAAAAACACTAAGATGATGGCTCCTGTAAAAAAATTCCCAATCTTTGGTCTCAAAAAAGGAACAATATTTGAAAAGTCTGAAAATTTTGTATTCTTCAGTGACTTCCTCCAGCAAATAACCCAAATTTTTCCATTACAAAAAGAAAGATGTATTTCTCAATGTGATCACAATCTTTTCAAGAATGAATTTTAAAGATAAGGGGACTTTATGAAATATCATCATGGCTGTATGCTCGCGTTTTTTGCAGCCCGCTCTCTGGATGAAGACGAGGTTATGAAGAGGGGTGTCATCAGTGACGTATTTCACAGCATCTGCGTCCCCGTCATGGACTCCATGATCGGTCTAACGAATGGCGGATGTGACGTAGTGGCCTCTTCTGTCGAAAGCAAATGCAACGAGCTTGCTGAGCAGCAACTTGGCAACTTCCTCTCTGGGCTGATCTCTAACCCTTTTGCATCCATGTGCAAAAGGTTGGCCGATATCGTCCGCAAAGAGTGCGAAAAAGGAAACGTGCAAAACTTGGCCAGCAATATATGCGCCAAAATTGCAGTCGGCTATATGAACTTTTTGTAAATTTCCTGTGCCAAAAATAAATGCAAGGAAGACAAAAAGATATATATTGATGATTTGCACAACTTACATATTTATTTCAATGCGCGTTGCTCAGTATGTGTGTTTGTTTGCGCGCACGTGCGTGATTGTGTGTAAGAGAGATAATTCTTACTTGCTTATCAAATATAATTTTTGATCCGGAAAAATATGAATAGGCCATGCATGTTATGATTTGGTGCATACATAAAGCTTAATATATCAAGCAATACAATGTTTCCGGTTCTCAACTTTACACAAATTTAGAAATTTAAATTCTCATCATCTATTTTTACATCATTTGGACGTTACAGTTTGGAATTTTACGTAGAACCTACCGTTGGCAATACCAAAATTATCGCACCATCGCAAACGTACTGCAGTTGACCAAACAGAATTTTATTGGCCGTGTTCCAACTGGTCAGTTGGACAATATAACGTTAACCCACCGGCGACAGTACAAAAACATAATATACGTTTAATTGGTCGAATAGCTTTTTTACACGTTTCTTTAATGTAAATGAGACGATGGTATTGACTTTATGTTACTTATTACTCGAGGTAAAAGCTAAGCAACTTCCTTGTTCCTTCATACTCTTCATTAGAGAGGTTTATCAAACGACGAACAGCGAAGACGAAGGACGAATTGAGTTCTTTCACATATTTTAATATTAAAATACACCATCGATACACGTCAAATCACTTTTACTGGTAAATGAACATGTGTTGCTTCTTATGATTGCCTTCAGGTTGGTTTATCGTAAGTGAAAACGGATATAAAATCGTTACAAACTAAGCATTTTTTTCTCACGACCTCTATTGTTTTCGTATTCGTTGTTCGGTGTTTGAGAAACGGCAGCTACAACATATGACGAACGAACCTTTTTTCCGTACTTCTTCTACGTTCTTCGTCGTTTGCTAAACCTGTCTATTGTCTCTTCCTAACTACGCTATCAACATTTTCTTTCTCTCCCTTCAACCTCCTACGTTGTTTCCCTACAACCTTTTACATCGTTCTCACTCGTTTACATTACATTCTGTACTTAAGTACGACGAGTTCTTGTCAATCAACTTAAGTTACTCTACAAAACACTCCCAGCTCTTTTTTCACTCGTGGCTGTCAATTACTAACATAACATAAATTACTTATTTAGATATTTGTGCAAAATAAAATTTAAAAAATAACACGTTCTTTGAGCATTTTGTCGGTCTTAACCGTATCGTATTGTTCCTCTAACCGTGCGCGTCTTAGGGCGTATTCCCAGAGCTTTTAGATCGATCTATCCCCGCGGGGAGTCCCACTAGATTACTGTCAGATAATCCGGCTTAAATGTCCGTCCTGCCTACTACAAGCTGTAAGGGGGTAATTAACTTTCGTGTCCGCTCGGCTGACAGCTATTTAGCGTGAATCCCCAGGAAGTTAGGTCGATCTAAAGTAGATCGATCTAATCTCTGGGAATGGGGTCTTACTGGCGCCGTGCTAAATGGACAATTAACGGGGTACCTTCAGACAAACAGACCAACATGACCGTCTATTTATCTAGAGACATATCTGTGAATATCTGTGGAAAACCAATCTGTCGCCCTGGTAGAGAGTAGGCATCTTCCCTGTAAGTAGCAGTAGACGTGAACAAACGGAAATATACTTAAGCGTTTTCCCAATGAGTACTGAAACTCATTTAGTCTCGTAAAAGATGTATGAACAATTATTTGGAAAAGAATGATTAAATCGAAAGCAAGAAGTGCTCGACACTTAAAAAACCAAAGCAAGTAGGCCCATATAGACTTAACATTGAACCTAAAATTCAGTGTTATTTATCCAGTATAAAAATGTAGTCCTCCAATTAAAGCAATCATTTTTTAGAAAACTTTCTAGAAAAAACAAACTATTTTCTATTGCCAGTATGTTTGAAGATGACTACAATATTGGTCCAAAAATTAAAGGAAAGTGCCACAACACGGAATTTGCTGGGGCAAGGTACCAGTACCTTGGCAACTTTCTTTCTGGTCTGTTCTCTAAACCTGTTGCATTAATGGGTCCAACTTGGCACAACTCGCTGTCAACGAATGCAACTATGGAGATGTGCAAAACTTCGCAGGTAGCGCGTGTGGCAAGCTCGCAAACGTCGTCGGTTTGATAACTGATTATCCGTGTGAAGATTTCATTGGTAGTAATGGTGCTAAAGTAAACTATTATCTTTCAATATTAAATCAAATAAAGGTATCTAAGAGAGAGAGAGAGAGAGAGAGAGAGCACTATGTCACAGTTCACATATATAACATCCCTTATTTTATCTTGTTTAATTCTAGTCAAGCATCATTTTGATAACGATATGAACATTTGGTTTTTTAACTTACTTAGTAATTTTACTAATAAGTTACTTTGTTAATAATTACGTAAATTCGTTCACCCTCATATTGATAAGAACGACACGAACAGTACGTGAGGTTAGGAAATCTCACGCAAACGAGGGCAAAATCGTGCCAAACCCGATCCCCCGGCGCGTGGGCATGTGCTCGCTAACCCTTTATATAGCTAGAACTGACGGCATACTGCGCACTTCGGCGGATTCATTCAACTACAGCATTCATCAGAGCTTTTAAGGTTGGTCTGTGCTTTTTCTTGCAGTGAATAGTATAATTATGACAACTTCTTGCCTTAAATAGTCGGAACCCATAGGGACGTATAATTTGCATTTGGCGTCTCTGATAAGACCTACCAAAATTATTCTAGGGCAGCAAGGGTTTTGTTTTCAATCAGCTATCATATCATTTATTCACAGGTTTGTCCTGCATATTCCGTTACCATGAAGTTTTTTATCCTAGTTGCTTTGGTTGCCGTGGCAACGGCTAAACCAGCTGAGAACTCCATTGAGCGTCTTGGTGAGTAGACTTTATTTTTTATGTTGGTCCTTTAAATAATAAAATCAATTATTTCACTTGGTGTCGAAAAATTTCTCCAGATAATTTGAATAATTACTTACGAACAAATCACTTAATAGCCATTTTGAGATATGGTTCACGGAAAAACTCCCAACTTGGGAAACGACGAGTCTAAATGAAAGAACAGTATTTGAAAGTCAGAAAAAATTGTATTCACCAATCACTTTCCTCATACAATTAACCCACTTGTCTTTGCATTACATAAAGGAAAATTGTTTTCTTTTTGTTTCCACGTTCTGGTTCTTTTTTTTTTAATTTTTTATTTTATTTATTCTGTTCCTTATAAACTATTCAGGAATATATCCGTTTTGTTTTTAATTTAAACGTAAATATTAGCAAAAAAAGAACTTATAAAAAGATAATTTTTTTAGATATTTTCCCCTGATAATTTGATTAATAACTTACGAACAAATAACTAAATAGCTGTTTTAGGATATGGTTCAAGGAAAACAGACGAGTCTAAATAAAAGAACAGTATTTGAAAGTCAGAAAATTTTGTATTCACCAATCACTTTCCTCATACAGTTAACCCACTTTTCTTTGCACTACAAAAAAGAAAGTTGTTTTCTTTTAGTTACCACGTTCTGGAGTTTTCTTTATTAATTTATTTGATTTATTATCTTCCTCATAAACTATTCATGAATATACAGTATATCCGTTTTGTTTTTAATTTAAACGCAATATTAGCAAAAAAAAAAAAATTAAAAGATAAGTTTATTTTTTTAAATATGTATGCTTGCTTTCTTTGCAGCCCGCTCTCTGGCTGAAGATGAGGTTATGAAGAGGGGTGTCATCGATGGTGTACTTCAAGCCATCTGCGTCCCTGTCATAGACACCGTGATCGGTCTGACCAATGGTACATGTGCCATAGTGTCCGCTACAGCCGACAGCACCTGCATACAGTTTGCTGAGAAGTACCTTGGCGGCTTCCTGTCTGGTCTGTTCTCTAAACCTGTTGCAGACATGTGCCAAAACTTGGCCAATCTCGTCATCATCGAGTGCGACAAAGGAACCGTGCAAAACTACGCCGGCGGTGTATGCGCCACACTTGCCAGCAAATTCGGCTAAATGAACTTTTTGTAAATTTTCTGAGCCAAAAATAAATGGACGAAATACAAAAAGAAATATATCGATGGTTTGCACAACTTACACATAGTAATCAATGTGTGTGTGTGTATGTGTTTGTGTGCGCGTGAAAGAAAGAGAAAGAGAGAGAGAGATGATTTTAATTATTTCATTATATATTATTTGTGGTCCGGAAAAATTTTAGGAGGTCCATTCAGATAATATTTTATGCAAACGTAAAGTTTAAATATTTCTAGCGATAAAAGGGATCTGGTTCTCAGGTTAGTAAATAAAATTCTTATCATTTATTCTATCGTCATTTGGACTCTAGAGTTTGGCATATACGTAGTATCTATCGTTGGAAATACGAAAATAATAATGCATTGCAGGTGCACTGCAGTTGGCCCAACAGTATTTTCATTTTTCAATTCCAGTGCTTCAAGGATTTTGTGTTCAATCGGTTAAAATATAATTTTCAACAGGTTTGTTCTGCACATTCCGCTACTGTAAAGGTTTTGATCCAAGTTACTTAGGTTACCATGGCAACCGTGGCATTGCCGCTTATCAACGTTTGTCGGCTGGACGATAACGCACCGGCAACAATAACCGGTGACAAAACGCACCATACGTTTTAATGTTCAATAAGCTTTTCACCAGTTTCTTTTATATAAATGACTTATGGAGACCTTAGTGTAAAAATAAAATAAAATGAATAAATAAATAAATAAACACTTATATTAACATTTGTTTTTTAACCATCGTATTGGTTTAGGTACCTTTTAACCGTACGCATCCAATTGGCGCTGTGTCAAAGTCATAATAACTCTTCGTTTTGGCCAAAAATTGGAATTTCCTGGCGTAAACGGCAATTTTCCCGTACTTACCAATGGTCAACGACAGTGACAAGCACAGTTTTTAGTTTTACTACAATAACAGCCGTTTTAGTGGTGAAATGCAGTATAATATATTTTCCTGTGCTGTTTAGAATGTATTTCTTGCGGAAGTTTGAATCTCAAAGGAAGAGTTATAATTGCTTTAAATGTACAATTTATGGGCATATCCCTTGTAGGAAACAGTACACGTCAACAAAGGGAAGTATATTGAAACGTTTTTGAGAGCTGAAACTCCTTTATCTCCTAAAAGATTATAAACAATTATTTGGAAAAGCATGAATATATCAAAGCAAGCAGTCCTCGCCATGGTGAAAACCAAACCATGTAGGCCTATATACATGTAGACGCAGCATTATATACAAATTTCAGTCTTATTAATCCAGTATAATAGAGTAGTCATCCAATTAAAAGCATTATTGTTTCTGTTTTAGAAAACTGTCTAGAATAAAAAAACTATTTACTAGCACCAGTATGTTTGATGATGACTACAACATTAGTCTAAAAGTCATAGCAATGACAACTCTTTATTTTGGCGGGAACGTGCCATAAAACGGATTTTACTGGGGAAGATCAATTTCCTAAATGTTCCAATGGTTTTTGACATTCAAAATAGCTAGGTAACTTTTTTAAGTGAGAGATTGTTACAAAGTGTGGCCATCTATGAAGTTCAGGGATGTCTGATGGCAAGCGCAAATTCTATGATAATTTCGAAAACTTGTTTTCAGTGATAAATTGGAATGACTTATATTTCTGTGTTGCTCACAATGTATTGATTGTGAAATTTTAACACATATATGAGTTGTTATCCACTTAATTCCGAGCATAAGTCCATTTTTGTGAAAATTACTGTTCTGCATGTCTGGGCAGTTAAAAAGTGGTCTGTGCATTTGACCTCAAAGTGACCTCGCTGAACATGCAGGTAACAACTTGATATCGGGGGCCTTTAAATTAGTATGCAAAAATTAAAGTACAATAATTTTGTTACAGTGCTTCAGCAGACCATATGGCCAGGGTGTAGGTAACAACAGTCTGGTGGTGCGTGAATCCTACAACGTCAGTGAATCAGTTTGTCGCGCACATGCCAAAATAGATAAATCCACACCGCCCACAAATGGCCGTTTGGTGATACGGCACGTGACAGCATTTGTACAAAGTCTGCAAAGCCATGCTGTAGTAGATGGTGCCACCATGCTAATCACCTCATTTGCTTTCTGTGTTCCATTCAGCATGTTTACACGTTGCTGTAGATAAGGATCTGTTATCTTCCGTATGAAATCGTTTTTCACAATACTGGTTTCTAAAAAGGTTTTCTCCAGTGTGTGTCCTCTCAGGCTGCCTACAGTTATTTATATGAATCTTTCTTCACAGTACTTACAGTTTTAAAAACAGTTTTCCCGAGTGTGAGTCATTGGCTGAACCAGCTGAGAATTCCATCCCGTGTCTTGGTAAGTAGAACTAACTTTTTAAAGTTGGTCTTTAAAATAATATAACCAGTTATGACATGTGAGGTGAAGGCCCTTTCAGGATTTCTTATTTGATCAAATAAATAGATAAAGAATTTAAATGGTGTCATCAACAATCTCTTGTTATAACTCCAAAGATACCTTAAAATGGTAAAATTTCTCGTCGTTTTTTGGTAAGATGATGCACTTTTTTAAAATCTTTTGGTATTGTTTACTAAGGCAGTATTGGTTAGAACTGGGTAGAAAAATGGTTTATACATGTGAAGATTTTATTGGCAGTTAGGGTGAAAAGATAAAGCGTTAACTCTGAATACCTGTCTTTTCTGCTTTCGTGACGATTAACAGCAAAGGTATCCGATAGAGAGAGAGAGAGAGAGAGAGAGAGAGAGAGAGAAAGCGCACTTTGTCACACTTCACAGACATAATATCTTTATTTAATCTTGTTGTTAAATTCTAAGTAAGCATCATGCGTGTGTTCGTTTCTCTGATAAATCTTACATTGATAATGATACGAACATTTGATTTTATAACTCACTAAGTAAATTCGCCCATTTGTCACTTTATAAGTAATTTTGAGAATGCATTGACTCTTATATTGATAAGAACGACACAAACAGAACGTGAGGTTAGGAAATCCCATTCAAACACGTCGAATCGTGCCGAATAGGATCCCCAGGCGCATGAGCATGTGCTCGCTGACCCTTTATATAGTTACATCTGACGGCATACTGCGCACTTCGTCAAATTCAGTCAAATACGGCATTCATCAGAGCTTTTTCAAGGTTTGGTTTTTGCTTTTTCTTGTAGTAAAAAGTGTTATTATGATTTATTGCCTTTAGTTATTGGAACCAATAACGACGTACATTTTGTATTTTACCTCTGTGATAAGACCTACCAAAATTATGATTTGTAAAGCAAAACAAAAACAAACACAAATTAATTCTATGTCTGCAAGGATTTTGTGTTCAACCGGCTATTATATCATTTTTTTCAACAGGTTTGTTCTGAACACTCCATTACCATGAAGATTTTGATCCTAGTTACTTTGATTGCCGTGACAACGGCTAAACCAGCTGAGAACTCCATTCAGCGTCTTGGTAAGTTTTAAAAGTTGGTATTTAATAAAATTAAATTCAGTTGGTGTCATCAACAATTTGCTCTTGCTTATTTCAAGAACAATTTAAAAACGAGTCTCTAAATAGCCCTTTAATGTGATGGCTTACGAAAAATATTTTGGAAACGTGGGGTCTCAATAAAGGAAAAGTACTTTAAAATTTAGACAAAATTATATTCATCAATTACTTTCCTCCAACAATTAATTCATTTTTCTTTGCACGACAAAAAAGAAAGTGTTTTGTGTGTGTGTGTGTGTGTGCGGGGGGGGGGGGGGCATGTTCCGGTGTGACGGAACTGAGAGTCCGGTGTGATACAGAGTCCGGGACTGTCAGATTCAGAAACCAGGGGTCCTCCGGACCCCTGGTTTCTGAATCTGACAGTCTGCTTTGAAATACAGGGTCCATCCGGACCCTGAATAATCTTAATATAGAGTGTCCCCCGGACTCTCTGTTATACCGGACCCTACGTTCCGTTACAGCTATGGCGAAACAGTGAGTCCGGAAGTCCGATAATAAATGAGAATATAATGTATTTTTGTCTTCTAGTTATAATTTATCCGTGTCTATAGGTTAAAAAAATAAGCTTTAACTATTAAGCCGATGAATTTCTGAGTGGTTGGCACAGCGACCTCATGGATGAGTGGAACAGCGTCAGGTAATAATGGGCAATGTAAGTAGAGTACAGGTTTTCCTTGTGTTTCGTGTTCGATCCCTACACCTACTTTAAATTATTATTATTTGTTTATTTCGTTACCAGTGCAATTTTACAATTTTTAATAATAAAACCATCACATTTTTTATTTAAACTCTGACAAAGGAACGAATGTTTATAATGGGAAAGTCAATTTTACCAAAGGTATGGTGAAAATGAACACTTTTATGACACGGTAGATTGATGGTAATATCACAGCAAAAATACCCTTAACCAAAATGGAATAGACAAATAAATGTAACTGAAAACATGTCATCGAGCACGTGTATATATACCCCCGAGCACGCCGTTATCTTTCGCCTGAAGTCACGATGGACATTGGAGCTGTAATAGAGATATAATAAATTTCCTGAGATGCGTGCTGTACCTAAAAACCTGCATCACGTCAGAGAGTTGCACAATATACAGGCAGGCTAGCTGACTAGAAGACTTCCACCTAATTACTTTTATAACTACAAATAGATTGTAAATTTAGTGCCTTTTTAGATAGTTTTTCATATTTTTTTTTTAATCAACTGAACCAGGATACTCATAAAATTTTGTTTTGCACTCAAACCATATACAATAATACAAACATTATCATGAGCAAATATTACACTTTCGTGAATGAAAATTGCATCATAGAAATACAAGTAAACGTGGCATTTGTACTAATACACAAGCAGGAAAAGATGTGTTGATACAGCGCACTAGTAAACATATTACATCTGTATTTATACACAAGCAGGAAAAGACATATGTTGATGCAGCACACAAGTAAACATATGTCATTTGTACTTAGACATAAGCAGGAAAAGACATGTTGATGCAGAACAACGTA